GGGAATCCTAGGTGCTGCAGTTCTTTTTTTCTTTTTTTTTTCCGGCTTTTTTGCTTTTTCAACAACTTTTTCCTTCATCCGATGCAGTCAACCACAGGCTCGCGAGCCAAGCTAGAAAGAAAATTCGCTCGAGATGCTTGTGAACTGTATCGAGGAGGTTGTCGGTCCAAGCCGACGAGTGGCAATGGTCGAGTCGGTTGATGCGATCGGCAATGCAGCACCGGTGAGTCCCCAACAAATATGAGCCAGACATTTGAAGTGTGAATCGGGCTTCGGCGTCGCGTTGAGCCGGACGTTAGCTGCATCGAGCGATACGCCTCGTGCTGCTGGGTAACCAGTCAAACGAGCAATTCCAGCTCTTGCACCGACGCGAAACGCTACACTTGACCCGTGCATTCCTGTCGCGTTTTGAGAATTTTGTCGGATGCGATGATGTGGCTATCCGCAATCCAGAGCAACTCTTTCCGCAGCGGCAACCGAGACCTTCCGGACCAACCTCCATCAACGTGCCGTATCCTAACTCCAACTTCATCAACGGACATCAAAGCACGATGGCGATCGAACAGCAAATCGACGGCCTGTTGCGCCATGTTGGACTCCGCGTCGACCACGGTCTGACGCCTCTTTCGGCCGCGCTCGTCGTTCTGGCGGGTGTCGGTGCCTTGACAGCCGCGACGTTCGTGCTGCGACTCACCCAGCTTTTCGCCGATGTCTACGTGCTGCCTGGACAGTCGGTGTCCAAGTTCGGTGCGAACAAGAAGGACTTTTCCAAGGCGACGTGGGCGGTGGTGACGGGTGCTACGGATGGCATTGGGCGCGAGTTTGCGCTGCAGCTCGCCAAGAAGGGCTTCAACATCCTGCTCGTCTCGCGCAGCCCGGAGAAGCTGGGTGCTGTTGCTGCCGAGATCGAAGCGGCTACGCCGGGCGTTCGAACCAAGACGCAGGCGATCGACTTTGCGCTCGGCGATGAGCGTCAGTACGAAGGCCTCCAACATACCGTCAAGGACCTCAACATCGGTGCGCTGATCAACAACGTGGGCAAGTCGCACAACATGCCGGTCAACTTTGCCGAAACTGCAGAGGACGAGATGGAGGACATTATCGAGATCAATGTCGTCTCGATCTTGCGCGTGTCGCGTATGATCATCCCCGGCATGGTCGCACGCAAGCGTGGTCTGGTGTTGAACCTCGGCTCGTTTGCTGGTCAGGTCACCACTCCCATGCTGGCGACGTATGCTGGATCCAAGGCTTTCCTCAGCGCTTGGTCCCAGGCTTTGGGCGAGGAATTGCGCAGGAGCAACATCACCGTCAGCCTGCTCAACACGTACTTTGTGGTGTCCAACATGTCCAAGGTGCGCAAGGCGAGCGCCATGATCCCCACTCCCAAGCAGTACGTTGCGCAGGCACTCAAGTCGATCGGTCGCAACGGCGGTGCGGTCGGAAGACCCTACACTTCGACGCCTTGGCCTATGCACGCTATTGTGGACTGGGCTACCTCCACCATCCTCCCGCGCGGCTGGCTGCTCAACTACACGTATGGCCAGCAAGTCGCCATCCGCAAGCGCGCCATTCGAAAGGCCGAGAAGCTCGCAAAGTCGACCTAGAAAAGCTAGCCTGCAGTGTCTGTCGTCGCCTGTGGCAGTGGACACCGCTTCCTTTGCTTGCGACACAGCGCTCCATCTGCTCACCTGCGCCAAAAGTCATTGAATCTCATCCCCACATTCTTCCAGCTTGATCACGACTTGGCCGCACCGGAGACTGAGCAGCTTGAACAACGCGGAGTGAGAGAGAGCCACGTGACATTGCCGGGCGAGTGAGACGAGGGTGACAAGCAAACTGACTCTTACGTTCAAGAGGTGGGATCAGGGAGTGCAGCGGCCGGTCCAGCGCGGGTAGAGGGAAGCCTCTCTGACGGTCCATCGGTTAGTGAGCCAGGCTAGGAAGCGCTCTACGCCAAGACCGTAACCGCCGTGTTCGCAAGTGCCGTACTTGCGCTGGTCGGTGTACCAGAAGTAAGGCGCGGCGTCGATGCCCTCCTTCTTGTAGGCCTCGAGCAGCTCGTGCTGGTCGGCCATCCTCATGGAGCCGCCGACGATCTCGCCGACGCCGGGCATGAGCACGTCGACCGAGTCGGTGAACTCCTCGTCGCCCTCGGTGCGCTTCATGTAGAAGCTCTTGATCTCGCGCGGGAAGCGGCAGAGGAAGATGGGCACGTTGAGCTCGTCGGTCATCTTGCGCTCGGCCGCCTCTGCAATGTCGTCGCCAATCTTGTGCGGCTGACCGTCCTCGTTGGGGATGTTGTGGTCGTTGAGCCACTGGATGGCCTCCTTGTAGTCCATGCGTCGGAAGGGACGCGAGGGCATCTGGAAGTTGGGGTTGAGCTGGTCCAGCAGCGCCTTTGTCTTGGGGTCGTCGAGCACGCGCGCAAGCGTGCCGCAGATCATCTGCTCCAGATGCTCGAGCAGGTCGTCAAAGGTGATAAAGGCCAGCTCGCCCTCGAGATGCGTATACTCGGAGAGGTGACGGCGCGTGTGCGACTTTTCGGCGCGGAAGGACTCCTGGACGCAAAAGACGTCGCCGAGCGAGGGCAGACAGGTCTCGAGGTAGAGCTGGGAGCTCTGGGTGAGGTAGGCGGGCTGTCCGTAGTAGTCGAAGCTGAAGAGGGTGGATCCGCCCTCGACCTGGGTCTGGACCATGCAGGGGGGCGTGACCTCGGTCATGCCGAGGCTGTCGAACTCGGCGCGGAAGGCCTTGAGCACCTCGGAGCGCACCTTGAGCACGGCGGAGGCGGTCTCGCCGCGGATGACGAGGTGACGACGGTCGGCAAGGGAGTTGGGGTCGGCGGTTTCGGCGACGACGTTGGTGTAGGCCTCGTCTCCGCCGGGCGCCTTGCCGAGGCACTTCCAGTAGTCTGCGACGAGCTCGTGACCGCCGGGCGCGGTCTTGCCCTCGGGGACGGCCTTGAGCTGGCCCTGGATCTCGACGGTGGATTCGGTGGTGAGGGTGAGGGCGTCGTAGGTGGTGGTGAGTTTGCCGGAGAGGACGACCTGGAGGTAGCCGGTGCCGTCGCGGAGGACGATGAAGGTGAGGTCCTTCTGGGAGCGGAGGCGGTGGACCCAGCCGCAGATCTTGACGCGCTGGTCGCGGAAGTTGGCGCCCTGGCTGATCTTGATCTTCTTGGCCGAGGAGGAGGGCTCCTCGAGGATGATCTTCTTGCTGTCCTCGAGACGCTTCTCGTCGTGGGCGGCCTGGGCTTCGTCCTTGGCGGCCTGCTCGCTCGCCTTCTCCTTCTTCTTTAGCGCGGTGGCGTAGAGCTTGCTCACCTTCTTGGCGGCCGAGGCCGAGATGGGAGCGTAGCCGTCGGCATCGACGCCGTCCTGACCGGGGGTAGCGTCGGCCTTCTTGACAAAGACGGAAGCGTCCTGGCCCTTGGCGAGGAGCGCGGCTAATGGTGTGGCGAAGGGCGAGGCCTTGGAGCCGTCGGCAGCGTCGTCATTACCGGCCTTCTCGTCGACGTAGACGGGAGCACCACCGCCGATGGCCTTCTTGTCCTTGTCGCCGGAGATGTGGAGAGCCTCGGCCGCCGAAGCGAGAGCGTCCTTGATCGCGGACATGCTGGTGTGTGTGTGTGTGTGTGTGNCTTCTTGTCCTTGTCGCCGGAGATGTGGAGAGCCTCGGCCGCCGAAGCGAGAGCGTCCTTGATCGCGGACATGCTGGTGTGTGTGTGTGTGTGTGTGCTTTCGGAGTGTGTAACTTGCGGGTCTAGTTGTCAGAAGTGTGTGCGCTTGAAGGCGCTCGTTGAGGTGTGTGGGTGTATCTCCTGTCGTTGGTGGTGGTGGTGAGGACAGTCGGAGGCGTCGAGGTTGGAATGCAAGATAAGGATTGGCCTGGGATCGACGCGGACCGGCGCGGCTCGAGCAGAGCAGCGCGAGGTGTGTGCGCAGCGCCGCGCAGACTCTGCACTCGAAGAAGAGCGGTGTTGGTTGGCTTGCGTTGGTCGCGGCTCAACTCCAAAAATGACTCCAATTCGACTCGACTCGACTCGACTCGTCTCGACTCGACTCGGGAAGACGTGCGGGAATTTCTGCGCTCCCCGCCCCGATTTGGCACAGATGCGGCGGCGCTCAGATTCAGCATATTGAGCCCCAGCCCATCCTCCCCGTCGGGCATGCCGGAGTCTTTGCGCTGCTTTGACCGCAAAAAATGCTTCCCGTTGCAGCGCCGTTCTGAGACAGCTGCTCTATGGCATCGGATGCCGATCAGCGCTCAGCTTTCTTCCCCAATCGGGCTAGATGGGGTCCTAACATCGAGCGACTCGAGCTGTTCCAAAATCGGGAAATCGGGCCCACCGCCAGCTCCGAATCTTTTCTTCGCGAGATCACCTCGACTTGTCACCTCGACTTGGCTCCGCAAGGGCCACACGACGGAGCGCAGAAGCAGAAGCAGAAGCAGAAGCTCTGCGTACGAAAAACTGAGCCCAGCTGAGTGACACAAGCTCGCCCGCCCGCCTGCCTTGGACATCGTGTCGAGCTTCCATCTGCAGCAACCTCCTACCATCTCCTCGCCCTCGTCGCATGCTAGCCAAGAAGCGCGACCTCAAAAACTGGATCCAGCGAGCGTCCTCGGAACCTCATCCGGAGCCCTACGACTCGGACGACGACCTCGCACCTGCAAAGATGAGTGTCTCGGGCGACGACACAGACCTCATCGACCCGCTCGACGACTGGTCCACCTTTGCCCAAGCGGCCCAGCTCCAGCTCAACTCCACCAGCACGCGCCAGCGCCTCGTCTTCCTCAACCGACATGCGCTCAAGGCAGCTGAGCTCGCAGAGCTACAGCCCGTGCAACGAGCCGAGCTCCTCACCATCATCCTCCGCACATATGCAAAGTACATCGACCGCGAATCTCGCCTCGCTTCCATCAGTGTATTCTCCAAGATCGTAGCCACAGACGAAGCCGCCTCCTCGCCAGACTCCAACGGCGCCGTCGCAAAGCATGCGCTCGCCTGGCTCAAGCGGGAGTCGGAGCGCATCGCCAAGCCTTCCGCCTCCGGCCCCTCCACCACTTCTCTCTCTACACTCACAGCCCTCCATGCGTTTGTATGCTCTCTCTATGCCACACTCTGCTCATCATCAACCGCAGACGACGCTGCCGCAGTAAAGGCCGTCTCGCCGACATGGGACGCTCTCGTCCACGTCCTCGCAGCCAACTACGACGCCATCCTTGCCGCTTCCAACGGTCGCGACAGCGTCCGAAAGAACGCAGTAGCTCTCACTCGACGCACGCTGCGCAATGCTCACGCCTACCTGCCTCACGTCATCCGCATCCTCTGCGCTAGCCAGACGCCCGCTGCTGCCCTTCGTTCGGCTCCCCTCCTCGGCGAGGCCATCGGCGTGTCTCTTCGCCTTCGTGCAGGCTCCGAGCAGCTCAAGGGCGCACCCGATGGCGTCGGCCGCGGATACATCAACGCCGCCAAGAGCGACATTCTCGCTTTCTACAGCACTCAGATCCTCGCTTCCAAGACCGCAGTGCCACATGCCGCCATCCAGGCTTTCGAGGAGTTCATCGCCCAGTACGTCACCGAGCACGATCTTTCTTCCGCACTGCGTCCGCAACTCGAAAAGATGCTCCTCCGCTCGCCCGAGGTCGCCCTACCCGTCGCCACGAGCCTGTTCAGCGCAGTGAAGCTCGACGTCGGTCCGCATGCCAAGCCGCTCCTCACCCCGGTCATCTCCGCTTCCAGATCCACCAACGCAGCCACCAGGACAAAGGCCGCCGACTTCTTCTCCGCCCTTTCCCTCCGAATCCGCGATGACGGCTCGGCCAAGACCGCCGTCGTCGACGAGCTCATCGCCATCCTCAAGGGCGGCAAGGCGGCTACCCCTGAAGCCAGGTCCTCCATCTACGCCATGCTCTCCTCCGTCGCACCAGGCGAGGCCGCAAAGAGCTCGGCCATCGTCGACGTCGTCGTCTCCCTCCTCGCCAAAGAGGCGCAGGAAGCTGCGATGCACGCCGCCGTCTCCTGCATCACCACTCACCTTCGCTGGATGCTCATCCACGCCGACTCCGCACCACCAGCCGCCGTCTCCAACGCTCTGGTCAAGGAGCTCCAGAACTCCAAGGTGCCCATCCGTAAGGCCGTCTGCCTTGCCATCGGCGAGCTCTTCTGGTCCATGGACGATGCAAACCATGCCACGCCCGCCGCTCGCGCATTTGCAGAGTCGCTTCTGCCCGGCTTCGAGGCCAACCTCAAGAACGCGTCCACAAACCCGCTCACCGCCGTCGGTGGTCCTCTGGAGGGCTACATCGCCACGGCTGTGCTTGAAGACCGTCTCGCCAAGTTTGGCTCCGACAAGATCGTTGCCGTTCTGACAAACAACGCAGCGCTCGAGGGCATCCTTGTCGTCGACCCCAAGCCATCCTTCCTCCTCGCCGAGAAGGTCTTCCGCAAGATCGCCACTCCAGACGAAGAGATCTGGCTCTCGCGCGCTTTGCAGGCCGTCGTCGTCCGACATGGCAAGGCGCTGGAAAGCGACAAGGCTGTCCAGGTGCACATCGCACTAGCCCTCATCCACGTCCTCTTCCATGCAACCGGCACCAATTCGAAGCGCTCCGTGCTCGAGCTCGTTCAGCATCTCGCCTTGGTCCAGCCCATCCTCACCCACGACATCATCACCTCCGGCATCTCGGCCTTCCTCCAACAGCCTGCCCCGAGTGCAACTCCCGCTGCCTCATCGGCCTCATCCAAGCCCAACGGCGCGGCCTCGGCGGCCTCGACATCCGGATCGGCGGCTGCAGCAGCAGCTGCTGGCGACGTGGAAGATGCAAAGCCCTCGGCCGAGACCCGAGCTCGTGATCTGCGCCGCCTCTTGTCCGCTGCCAACACCTTCTCGGAAGAGCTCGATTCGCAACTGCGCAAGAAGGCGCTCGTCGACACGCTCGTCCTCTCGCACCACACCGACCTTCTCGACCGCGGCACCTCATGCTTCATGGACCTCACCTTCAAGGCAAAGATCCTCCCCATCGACCTGGTGACCTCGCATCAGCAGGACCTCCTCTCTGCCGTGCGCGTCGCCCTCGATGATCCCGCCATGCGCGACGCAGGCTTTGCGGCACAGACCACGCTCGTGCGTCTGGCGCCCGACACCATCATGGCAGAGCTTGCCTCTCAGGTCGAAGCCGACTGCCAGTTCGACGATCTGCACGCACTCACCCAGGATGAGCTGGGTATGTGGCGAACCGAGCCCGGCTCCCTCTACATCGACGTCCTCTCCGCAAAGAAGGAAGACAGCGTCGACAAGAACAGCAAGAATGCAAAGATGGAGCAGTGGGAGGCCGAGCTTCGCGCAGACATCGCCAAGAAGAAGGCGGCTCAGAACAAGACGCTCACCAAGGACCAAAAGGCCGCCGTTGACGCTCAGGCCAAGGTCGAAGCGCAAGCACGCGCCAAGGTCCAAGAGATCCGATCGCGCTACGTGCGCTCCCTCGGCACCGTCTCGTCCATCGTCGGCGCCCGCACCGTTGAGATCCAGGGCTACATGCAGTCGCTCGTTGCTTTCGTCCTGCGCACCTTCGAAGTGCCTCAGGCCCGCGAGCTCTTTGAGAAGGAGGTCAAGGACGCTTTCTGGGCGCTGTCCAGCTGCTGCTCGATCCGCCTCGAGGCCTACTCGATGTTTGTCGCCGTTGCGATCCTGCGCACTATCGACGAGGAGCTCGTGCAGGAGGACTTCCGAGCCGAGCCCATCAACGAGCTCGTGCTTCGCATCCTCTATCGCCTCCGATCGCTGTCCGAGCAATCGCCCTTGGATGCTACCACGGTCGCTTTCATCGACCCTCTTATTGTTCGCATCGTTCGTGCTGGCGGCTTCGGCGTGGATCCCGAGGACACGGATTCGGTGCTGGAGCAGATCCAGCTCTCGCTCGACTTCATCGACTTCCACGGCTCTGCGTGCGAAAGCACCTTCTACCCTCGTTCGTCGTTCATGAACAGCCTCGTCACCATCGTCGCCAAGCACACGCAGATCTCCAAGGACGCTGTCTCTGCGCTGCGCGACATCGGCGAAGCGCTCAGGACCACGGCTCTGCCGGCAGAGATCCAGAAGCTGCTCTCCAACACCATGGTCGACGAGGTCTACGTGCGCAACGGCTGTCTCCAAGCCATTCAGCCGCTCGATCTTACGGACCTCGAGTTCCCCGTGGAGCTCTGGCTCGCCTGCCACGACGAAGACGAGGAGAACGCGCGACTCGCCGAGAAAGCCTGGGAGGAGAACGGCCTCGACGTGCCCGAATCCTTCGCAGACCCGCTCATCGCGCTGCTGGAGCACAAGATCGCCTACGTCCGCGAAAGCTGTGCGCGCGCTCTTGCCGCTGCCACCGAGCAACACCCAGAGCAGGTCTCGAACGTCATCTCGAAGCTTTGCAAGCTGTATCAAGAGAGGAACAAGGTGCTGGCACCCGAGTACGACCGATTCGGAATGGTGATCGAATCGACCAAGAACCGCCAAGATCCATGGCAGACGCGTGCTGCCATTGCTGTGGCGCTCCGTCACCTGGCTCCTCTTCTTCAGGGCTCGGATGTGCAGCCTCTGTTCGAGTTTATGATCGATGGTCAGGCGCTTGGCGATCGTAGCGAAGACGTGCGCCCCAAGATGCTCGAAGCGGCCACTGCTGTGATCGATCTGCACGGCAAGGAGCACCTCTCCAAACTCATCGCCATGTTCGAGGCCTTCTTCAGCCACTCGACCGGCTCGAACGCCGACGACGGCATCACCGAGGCAGTCGTCATCTTACTCGGCCGCGAAGCTCGCCATCTAGACCCCAAGGACCCGCGCGTCAGCAAGGTCGTCGATCGTCTCATCGATGCCCTCAAGACGCCTTCGGAGCTCGTCCAGTCTGCCGTCGCCGACTGTCTGCCACCGCTGGTGCTTGCCATCAGCAAGGACGTGCCGCGCCTGTTCCAGTCGCTCTTCCGCGAGCTCTTCGACGGACCCAAGTACGCCGGTCGACGAGGTGCCGCCTACGGCCTGGCTGGTCTCGTCATGGGTCGAGGCATTGGCAGCATCAAGGAGTTTGACGTGATGGACAAGCTCGCCGACGCATTCGAAGACGCCAAGAACCCGACGCGCCGACAGGGTGTCATGTTCGCGTACGAGACGCTGACGCTGACGCTCAAGAGGCTCTTTGAGCCGTACATCATCGGCATCTTGCCACACATGCTTGCCGGCTTCGGCGACGTCTCGAGCGACGTGCGTGAGGCGACGCAGGACGCAGCCAAGGCGATCATGCAGACAGTCTCGGGGCACTGCGTCAAGATCATCCTGCCGACGCTGCTCTCGGGTCTCGACGAGAAGCAGTGGAGGACCAAGAAGGGCGCCATCGAGCTGCTGGGCGCCATGGCGTACTGTGCGCCCAAGCAGCTCTCGCTGTCGCTGCCGACAGTCATCCCGCGACTGAGCGAGGTGCTCACTGACTCGCACACGCAGGTGCGAACGGCGGCCAACAAGAGTCTGAAGCAGTTCGGCGAGGTGATCAACAACCCGGAGATCAAGGAGCTCGTGCCCGTGCTTCTCAAGGCGCTTATCGACCCCAACACCAAGACAGGTGCGGCGCTCAAGCGTGTGCTCGAGACGAGCTTCGTGCACTACATCGACTCGCCGTCGCTGGCGCTCGTCATTCCGATCATCGACCGTGGTCTCAAGGAGCGCAGCGCAACGATCCAGAAGGACGCTGCGCGCATCGTCGGCAATCTTGCCGGTCTCACCGACTCGAAGGACTTTGTGCCGTACCTCGGAAAGCTCATTCCTATGGTGCGTCTGGTGCTCATCTCGCCCGTGCCCGAGGCACGAGCGGTTGCGGCCAAGGCGCTCGGTACGCTTGTGGAGCGCCTGGGAGAAGTGCACTTTGTGGAGCTGGTGCCTTCGCTGCTCGGAGTGCTGCGCTCGGACGCCACGGGTGTGGATCGCCAGGGTGCCGCCCAGGGTCTCGCCGAGGTGCTGGCTGGTCTGGGCATGGAGCGCATGGAGAACTTGCTTCCCGAGATCATCAACAGCGCCGCGGATCCCAAGCCGTACGTGCGAGAAGGTCATATTTCGCTGCTCATCTACCTGCCCGCCACGTTCGGCCACCGTTTCGCGCCGCACCTGGGCCGCATTATCCCACCGATTCTCAGCGGTATCGCCGACGATGCCGAGACCGTGCGCGAGGCGTCGATGCGTGCTGGTCGCATGATCATCGCCAACTACTCGTCCAAGGCGGTGGATCTGCTGCTGCCGCACCTCGAGACGGGCCTGTTCGACGAGGCATGGCGTATCCGCATGTCGTCGCTGCAGCTCACCGCCGATCTCCTGTTCCGCCTGTCGGGCATTTCGGGCAAGAACGAGGTGGAGGACGAGGGGATCGACGAAGATATGGAGCACTCGGCTGCCAACAACTCGGTGCAGCGAGCGCTCATCGAAGCGCTGGGACAGGAGAGGCGCGACCGCATCCTTGCGTCGATCTACATTGTGCGACAGGATCCCAACATCCCCGTGCGCCAGGCAGCGATCCACACGTGGAAGGCGCTGGTGCACAATACGCCGCGTACGGCGCGCGAGGTGCTGCCGACGATGCTGGACATCCTCATCAAGTCGCTTGCCTCGAACGGCGACGAGAACCGCGAGATGGCGGCGCGCACGCTGGGCGAGCTGGTCAAGAAGCTGGGCGAGAAGATCCTGCGCGAGACGATTCCGATCCTGCGCATGCGCGGAGCGACGTCGGAGGACGCCAAGACGCGCTCGGGCGTGTGCTACGCGGTGACCGAGGTGCTGGCCAACTCGACCAAGACGCAGCTGGAGGACCACGAGGATGCGATCATCGCGGTGGTGCGGCATGCGCTGGTGGACGAGTCGCCGGCGGTGCGCCATGCGGCTGCGCAGGCGTTCGATGCGACGCAGACGTACATTGGGCCGCGCGCGATCGACGAGACGATCCCGACGCTGCTCGAGGCGCTGTCGGACACGAGCGGCGGCACGTCCGAGACGGCGCTGGCTGCGCTGCGCGAGGTGATGCGTGCGCGCTCGGACGTGGTGTTCCCCGTGCTGGTGCCGACGCTGATCGCGCAGCCGATCACGTCGTTCAACGCGCGTGCGCTGGCGGTGCTGGTGCGTGTGGCCGGATCGGCACTCAACCGGCGGCTGTCGAGCATGCTCACGGCGCTGTCCAAGGCGCTCGACACGGAGAAGGACGAGACGGTGGTGGCGGACCTCAACGCGGCGGTCGAGGCGCTGCTGGGCTCGGTGTCGGACGTGGACGGACTGCACCAGACGATGCTGCTGCTGCTGGGCTGGGCCGGATCGACGTCGTCGCCGCAGCAGCGCGTGGCGGGNCGGACGTGGACGGACTGCACCAGACGATGCTGCTGCTGCTGGGCTGGGCCGGATCGACGTCGTCGCCGCAGCAGCGCGTGGCGGGCTGCAATCTGTTCAAGGTGTTCTGCCAGGTGAAGAAGGCGTCGGTGGACGTGTCGGACTATCTGGTGGACTGGCTGCGCAAGCTGGTTTCGCTGCTGGACGACCCGGTGCCCGAGGTGGTGGATGCGGCGTGGAGCGCGCTGGACGCCTCGCTCAAGACGGTGGGCAAGGACGAGCTGGAGGGGCTGGTGGTGCCGTTGCGGCGCAGTCTGGAAAACACGGGCGCGGCCGGACGCGAGCTGGCGGGCCTGTGCCGACCGAAGGGAGCGTCGCCGCTGGTGCCGGTCTTCCTGGCGGGCCTGATGAACGGTACGCCGGACCAGAGGCAGAACGGAGCGCTTGGACTGTCGGACATTGTGGAGCGCACGTCGTCGGATGCGATCAAGCCGTTTGTCACGTCAATGATCGGACCGCTGATTCGACTGTGCGGCGACCGTCATCCGCCGCCGGTCAAGGCAGCGATCCTGACGAGCTTGGACACGATGGTGCGGCGCATCCCTGCGCTTGTGCGACCGTTCTACCCGCAGCTGCAGCGCTCGTACCAGAAAGCAGTTTCGGACGCTTCGAGCGCCACGGTGCGCGCCAAGGCGGGTGTGGCGCTGGGCAACCTGATGGGTCTGCAGACGCGCGTGGATCCGGTGATTGCCGAGCTGGTTGCGGGTGCTCGCGCCGGTCTTGGCGAAGGCGGCGCCCCCGCCGCGGCGGGCTTGGCTGGAGCCGCAGCTGGCGGCGCGACCGACCCAGCTGAGCTTGCGGATTCGTTTGCGCAGGCGCTGGCGCACGTGCTTGCCAACGCCCCGGCCAAAAACGTGGGTGCAGCGAGTCGGGAGCAGGTTGTTGCGCTCGTGGATGCGACGTTTGGTGCCGAGGTGGGCGTCAAGGACGCCTTGCGCCAGGGTGTGGCCGAGGTGGTGGGCTCGCTGGTGAAGCTGGACGCGGCGTTGGCGGCGGGCGTGCTGCGGAAGCACGTGGTGGGCGGGGCGTCGGGCGATGTGGCGCTGCAGTCGCAGATCGTGCGCGCTAGTCTGGAGCGCGACGCTGCGGCGGTGCATGCGCTCGGGTTTGCAGACGAGATTGTCAAGTCGGTGATGGGATGGATCAGTCAAGGCTCGGCCATCTCGCGGCCGGCCAAGGAGGCAAGGGAGCTCATCCGCGACTCGGACGCCTGGAGGACAGAGGCCAAGGCAGCCGACTGGATCTAAGCGACACACACTCCCAAATGCAATGCTGAGTTTCTAGAAAGGATCTACAACCGTTGTGCCGTGCCGTGTGGCAGCTGACAAGCGGTGTGAGCAGAGACCCAGTTGATGGCGACCAGCCGAAGGTGCGAAAAAGGTGAGAATGTTAAATCCAATCAAACAGGGCTGGGCGCAGATCGACGTCATCAGAGGTGAGTCGCGTCGGCGAAGGAAGGCTGCCGGAAACGGTCCGGCACGGCCAACCCAGGCGCCGATAAGGTCTGGACTCACCACCCATCGCTTGCAGTAGAACAATCTAATCCGCAACGTCCTCACTATGCCTGGCAGTACATCCTTTTCTCATCCAGTCTCCTGTCCTTGACTGACGTGGCGAAGATTGTGAGGGACGCGACAGGGATGACATCGAGACCGGCTGTGTGTGTGTGTGTGT